ATAATAGAAAATAACTCGTCTCAAGAATGGTAGAAAACAAAGCATCCAACTATGATACAACATTGATACATTCATAGGTATGGATCTACCTATATACCCTCTTTTGCAATTGCTACTGTCATCGCACTAGATCAGATTTACTCTTTTATCGTTTCAATTCTATTCTTTAACACAACCAAGCAAGTAAGAAACAACACGAACAAATCAGCAAATTCGGAACTAGCGCAAAGCTGTGAAGAGAAATCTCACCTCAACCTGTCCTCTACCAGCAGCAGCATGTAAAACAGTTGAACCCATCTTATCTCTATATGCCAAAACATCTTCACAATCAACAAGCAATTCCTTGAGAATCTCCACATTTCCTCCTCTAGCAGCAGCATGAACAGCTCTATTCACCATTTCCCATTTGTAAATAGAAGGAATATCCCCAATATGTTCCTCAAATTCTCCATTCTTTGCAGTTAGAAACCTCGGTGAAACAGCAAAATCATAAATCAGCCTAAAAACCTCACAGTTTTTACTCCTGGCTGCAGCATAAAGTATATCAGTCACACCATATTCTCCTTCCCCAAACACCAATAAAGGATTTCTATCAAGTAACTCATGGGCAAAACTCAAGTCACCAGCTGAGGCAGCTGTATACATGAGCCATCCTCCATAGCCAGATTGTATGAGGGAATTCTTCCCTTTCCTGGATTCACACTCAAGAAAGAGTTTCTGGGCGACCTCAGACCGACATTTGGCGACATCATCAAATTGTTCTTCATCGTCCCATACTGTCTCTAGCCGGCGAATTCGCCGGAGAGAAGTGAGTTTAATTAGGTGATTGCGGTCGATTCGGAGAAGCTCTCTAACTAAGTCATAATGGCCATTAGCAGCCGCCCAATCTACGGGTGAAGCATACCACCATTGATCTCCTGTGCTCTCCCATCTTAGAGGGAAATATGTAGGAGGCATTGGAAAGGACTATCAAGGAATATTCAGGAGAATTTGAAGCAAACCCAAACAAGCAACTGGTAAACAAGTTCTTGGTTTTTCAATCCTTGAGCACTCAAATTCCAGACCCAACAAGATTATATACAAATCTTCAGGAAAATTTGAAGTACATCCACCAAGAAAATCTTTAAAAACACAAGATCTCTGAGAAACTAACCTGGAAAATCACTCAGAAATGGCATAAATATGAACCTATCAGCACAAAAGCTACTAGCTTTTCACCTAACAAAATTAAACTCTCCAACTAAAAGCATGGGAATTAAGAGAGTTTTAAGAGCAAAATTTTGGAGAGCCAAGGAAAGCAAGAAACTTAAAATGGGAAATCAAGAACAAAAAAGAAAAGGTCTGAAATTTAAGAAATGGCTTGGCAACAACAATAGATCTTCAGGAAATTTTAAATTAAACCCAAGAAGAGAATCTACGAGTTAAACCCTTCTGTGACAAGCTCAATAAGAAACTAACCAAGAACATCACTAAAAAATGGCGTAAATATGAAAATATCAACTTAAAAGCTACTAGCTTTCATTCCCAGAAACTACTTCACCAAAAAAATTAAACTCTGCAACTAAAAAAAAGGGCAATTAAGAGAGGTTTAATAACAAGGCGTGAAGTGCCAAGAAAACAACCCAGCAAGTTTTTAGAGCAATTAAGAACAAAAAAGGTGTGAGATTTAAGAGGTTAATAAAAATCTAAGGCATACCCACATGGAAACATAAAGGAAGATCTTTAAATCCCTACCTAAGCACACAGAGAGAGAGAGATGAACAGAGAGAGAGAGAGAGAGAGAGAGAGAGAGAAGAAGAAGAAATCAAATTATCAAAATAGTTGCCAGCAAGTTATTTTAGAAAATTCAACAAAGAAAACGATGAATAATAACAGAAAAACATGTGAAAATAAATTATACCAATTCGTGTATTGATGCAAAAAAAAAAGAAAAAAAACTTAAAGGAGAATAAATGAATAACATCAACTAAGAAGATATGATAGAAGAAACATCAATTATTGCTTACACAAGATGAAACCCTGAAAAGATAACATGGCGTTCAAGAAAAAGAGAGATTTGAGTAGATATTTTAATAATAATTAATAGTTAGTGAGGCATGGTTAATTATTTGTTAATGGTTATCACTTATATTAGGCTAAGATCAATTTGTTTTAGAGTAATAACAAGCCAAGAACTCAAACAAGTTGAGAACTTTTTGTAGTGCCATGAATATCTTTCTTCATAGTTTTTATATACCTAAATTTAGAAAAAAATTATAAACTTATATGATTTCATATTTAAATTCAATTAAATAGTATTTTTATTATCTTTTGATTGAAATAAGTATAGATTAATGAGTCTTTATCTCTTCGATTCATGTATCACTTTTTTTATTAAAAAAAATTATAAATTTAAATCGAATTATACATTTTCATATATTTTTGTTATAAAGATACATCTCTTCTTCTATAAAAAGTTTATGTATATTTGAATTGCACTGTACACTCTCTTAGAATTTTACTTCTATAAACTAAAACAAAAAAAAAAATGAAATATGTTTAGCCAACTAAAGAAACACATGTAGATAGGGTAAGATTCTTTTCAGAAGAGTTATGATAATGTTGAAGTTGTACTAAAATGATGGTGATGTATGGAGAGATAGAGAGAGTTGAATTTACCCTCTTTTAGTAGAAATCATAATAGAGCTCTTGGTGAGGTGAAAATATGATAACAAGATCTTTTTATCAGAGATTTTGGGAGGGAGGGCAATCAAATTTCTTGTCTATGTAAAGTATTTTTGGACTTATGGGTGACATAATTAATATAATTTATAATAATTATGTTGGGTAAGTCATAAGGTATTTTTTAAAATTTTGAGTATAATTTATATTCTAAAATTAAGTGCATGATTTTTGAAATAATACCACTAACCATATATTTAATGAAAAATTTATTATGTATTTGATCAAGAGAAGTAAATTATAACTTTTCATAAATATGACAATTAAATGTTAATTTTGAGTTGAAATAATTTTAATTTACAAAATTTGTCAATTCATCTAATGCTCTTATAGTATTTATGTCTCTTAATTATATAATTTTTAAACCCAATTGACTAAACCCTTTATTATTATATTATTATAAAATGATTTGTTTAAAGTCCACATGTTTTGTCTAATTCAAAAGAAAAGGTGCTCTTGCAAATATTAAACAAGTGTGATTTCTCTTTCAAAAGAGTTGAATTGTCTTAATTAAAATCTATATGTGATTTTTTTTTTTTTAAATAAAAAATTTCAGATCTTACTTTGGGTAGATTAGAAGGAAGGTACTAATATGTGTTATGTTCTCTCTAGATTAAATTTATAAACTAATATGTTTGAATTTTATTTTTTTTAATATTTTGGTGAATTTTTTTTTAAAAAATTTAGTTTCTTTACATTGAATTCTTATATTTTAATTATTATTTACGTATTTAATACATAATAAATCTATACTATACAAAAATACGAACAAAAAAAATTATTATACAGAAATACTTAACACGAATTATAGTGACTCAAATTAAATATTTATTTATTTTTTATAAATTATAGAAGAAATGCATTTCAAAGTAATATATTATTATTTAGAAGCTGAATTATATTATTATAAAATATCTATTTGTTTATTCAATTTTTTTTTTTGGGTCATAAAATAGCTTCCTCAAATTCCAATTTTTTAGTTTTTTCAAAAAGGTGTAATTACCCTACCATGATGAAATGATTAGATAAACATATGGACATGTCTATCGGCATCATTGCCATTTTGAGTCTAAAATAATCCAATTTATATGGTGTTTTGGCTTGTTTCCCATATTAGGGTTTAATCTCACTAGTTACAAAAAAAAAAATAAATAAATAATATTTTATTCTATAAAATTTGTTATATTATACAAATTCATCGCATTTTTTTAAAATTTTATACCTAAAAAATCTATATTTATAAATTATTATACATTTTATTTGATATAATTCGTTTTACCAAAAAAAAAAACACGACTAAAATGTGTAAATTACATAACTAATACTACAAAATCCGACAAGAAATCAATATAATACAAATAAATAAATAAAATAACGAGTAATTTTATATGGTAATCAATTATCTTTTTGTTTAAGTACTTTAAGCTATATTTACATATATTTTGAATATTAATATATACAAATTAAGAAAAAAAATTAGTAGAAAATTTAATAAAATAGACAATGTGTAATAATCTATAAACTATAGTGTTTTGTCCTTTTTTTTTAAAAAAAAAAGAAAATATGAATCCAAAAGTTTAATTCTGGTAATTTTCTCTTAATTTTATATTTTGCAAGGTATTTTAAAAATGTATATAATTAAATTATTCTGAAATCAATTATGCTCACTTTAACAATTAACCTTTTCATTTGATGGAGATGAAAAGAGTAAAAACCCATTTCACTATTTACCCTTTGACTGTGATCCCACCATTTAAATAATGTATGTAAATTTGAAGGTTAAAAACAAAGGCACATGTTTGGCACGTGACCTTTTCATTTCTTATCTTTGGAAAAGCCAGGTTGGGGGAAGCACTTATTATGTTGTCCACCTTTTCATTTCTGCAAGAATTGCAATTAGGGATTTGGTGAGCTGTTCCTGGATTTTGCCTGTTTGGAAAATCCTAGAGATTCAATTCAACCATTCAAAAGAGATATGTATAGACGTTAGAACACATATACAAACTTATATATACATAAAAGCAAAGAAAGCCCATGTGAGAAGCAGCTTTTAGCTGTTTTTTCTTTTTTTTCTCTTCTTTGGGTACTAATGCATTCAAAAAAGTGCTTTTGCAGAGATTGGATTACCAGCTTTAACAAACAATAATAATGCATATGATATTCTGATATTAATTTGAGAGCTTCCCTTTGTGCATGAAGTTTGTTTTTTCTCCCTATATTTATCTATCTTTATATAAAAATTAGTTAAAAAATTAAAAGAAAAATCAGAAAATAACAGTAAACATATAGATATAGTCTGAATAATTCTATAAATACAAATGTAAACATATATAAATTTAGAGAATGAAATAAAAAGATATTAATTACCAAACAGAAGCTTAGTTCCCTCTTTACATCCATATCTCTGCTTGTTACTTTCTTTTCTGCAATTGCTCTTTCACTGGTCTCTTTCTTTGCTTTAGTTCATGAAATGTCATCTTCAAATTGACACAAAATATGACATGAAAATTTACATTGGAATACACCACTAAACCAGTCTCAACATCAATCGGATTAAAGAGCTTCAGCTTAACTTAAAATAGAGAAGCACATAATTATTTACAAACTTAAAGCTATACACTCCATTTTGGTCAAAAAGAAAGTCAAGCCAAACACCCTCTAAGAACCTCGGCTAAAGCATAACTTTAACATTATGATTTAACATTGCATTTATAAATTCAATAATGTGATATAGTAATTTATAACATCAAGCAGTAATCAGATAACATCCACATGTTCTACAAGGCATAGTGTGTCACCATGGTAGCTAGATTCATCATCCACTGGTAAGATGTATAGGATCTGGACCACCCACATTGATACTATAAAAAATAATTGCAGATATGATACGAGCTGAAAATTTATCTGACCACAATTTTCCTTATAACATGCAGTAAGAAAAAGTTATGTTTAACAAAATGCATCAGACCAAATTGAAAGCCAAGAAAGGATATTAAATTAACAGACAATAGATGGACCACCAAGAAGCATGATAGAAGGAAAAAAGGGAAAAAAGAAAGCTTGTAGCTTTCTCACCATTTGTTATGTTGGGTAAGGTAGGCAAGAGGATGTGGTTTCCATCTGTGAAGTTTTAGTGCCAGTGTCTAGCTTTTGGGCCCAACTGAATAATGCAGTGAACAAGGATTGCATAAAGCCTAAGGCAGATAAGTGAGTCTCATTCATGTATCATACGTCACTTTTAATGGTAGGAGGAGACAGAAGAACCCAACAACTAAATGATTCTACCTAAAACTATTCCCTATTCTCCAATGGATAGACACTGCATCAGACTGAGTTTCAAGGGCAGAACACTCTAATATCTAAAAGAAAGAGAGAGTGCAAGGTAGGTTGGGCCCATAGAGACTGTAGAGCCGAAAGAGATTGAGGTGGAGAAGACGTTATCCTGCTTATCTAGTATACATGCTAGGGAAAATCTCTTATGTGTCCGTATTAATTTTCTAACATTTCAAAGTTATTCGCTAAATTTGTGTGATAATCACTAATCATTGTGTACTAATCAATTATTTCAAAGCGATAATCACTTATCGCTGGGCACCATAGTAGAAGCCCACATGCAATGCACGGATTGACTTCAAAACCATGTGGATGACTCAGGCTTGCCCCACAACACTCACTTACTAACTACTGCTAAATACTGTAAAACCAGAATAAGTTACTTTGAATAGAGAAAAGCTGGAACCCAAGATGACTGGAACTTTATTGTCCCCAAAAAATCGTGAGTGTTTGAGTCACACAAAGCTGATAGACAACAGCCTCGAACAATTTTTTTTTTTTTTTTCCTTTCTCTTTTCTTTTGTGTGTCCACCTTCATCATTATTTTCAAGAAGAAGTGTGCCTACTTCAGTGTAAAGGCAACAAGTGAAAATCTTTCTGCACCATCAACCCAGGTACATGACATTGTTGTAAACAGCACAAGAGTCCTAAAGAAACAAGGAAACCTGGAAAAAATTGAATATATCAACAGCTACAGAGACATTATAAATCATTTATGCTTTTCCTTAAGAGCCCTACATCATTCCACACATGCAAATTAATCGCTTGAAGGAATCCCGGGAGAAAGAGAAAATGTACCATACTTGCATAAGAAATAAAGGTTCTTACGAATATTATATATCAATTCTTTGCCTTCATAGAATTGTTTTCCTTAATTCTTGCTCGGTTGTCAAGCTTAACAAATCGTTTAAGATCTTCATAAGGGAGAGTTTCAATGTTTTTCCTTCTTAGTTCACTCAATGCTGTGCGTTTATCAAGCAGATGCCACAGCCAATCAGGGTACTCAGAATCAGGCAAGATCTTGGGATCTGTTCCATCCTTCAGAATATTAGCACCAACTACTGTTGTAGACTTGACTTCTTTACTCAGCGTTGATGCTTTTGGAGCATCGCTGGCTGCTCCTCCTTTAGAACCCTTCTTTCCTTTAGCAGCCCCAGCAGCAAAGGTTCGCCAGCCCGCCAAGCCATCTACTTGCTTTGTGATGATGATTCTTCTCAATGATCTGATGTGGTTCATTGACATTCTTTACACCTGTATTGCAGGAACTAATACTAAATGAGGATATGCATAAGCATGTAAATATTTGTTAGCATTTTCAAGCACACTGTTTCTACAGGTCAAGTTTGCTATGATTGTAATTGTCTTAAAAGGTTTCTAGTTGAAACAGTGAGAATGTGAGCAATCAAAAAAATGCTGAGCAGTGTTATGGCATAGGATCACTCATATAACCCTGGCCATCACTTCAACAGATTGATTAAAAGGAGTCCATCAGTCATTTGTATATTAAAAGCAATTGTCATTTCACCAAAACATTCTACAAGCACCATTTCTAAGAACGATTTAAGCATAATGAAGATAATTTTCCATAAAATGTGCATATGTATCATATATGTTTAGCATAAACAATGTACAACACCAAGGACTGCCATCCACTTATAAAAGAATGGGATTATGAAGATCAAGATACCAAGAAGGTTCCTTAAGTCCTTCAAAGAAGAGAGAAAATGAGCATTAAACAAAAAACAAAGGTCTAGAACCAGATATCTCCAACCCTACCAAAAGTGGAGCAAACACTCCAAAATATTCTCCTATTCCACTAGCTCCAAGCTACCCTCAAATTGATATGATATAATTCCAAATATTACTCTTGGAAGGAAAATCAACCCAGCCCTAACATTGATGCCCTGATACTTGGAGGTCATCAACGATTGTCTTACTTCAAAATTACTAATTAATCCCATCTGGTTAATCTCATTTGGGAGGCCTCCCACCATCAGGGCAATGCTTGATTGCTTCCAATATGGGATTACAGTTTTTTGCTCCTCTCAACTTCAATTACCAGTTAATCCCAACTAGTTAATATTTACCGAACTAAAATCCAAAATGTAGAGAAGCCTTTACATCCTACACTCAAACGACAGAACAGTAGCCTGAATCCTAAAATGCAGAGACTCGATTTTATTTCAAGGTAAATTACATCCATAAGAGTGTCCGTTCGCAAGGTTCGATTAGCACCATACTGGAACATTGTAATTTTCATTCTAATTCATACCACATTTTCTAACACCAAATTATCTAATTACCAGTGAAAGTTCCATATTTATACTGTGAAATCATTCAAATATGCTACCAAAAAATTTAACAAGTTAATAAAAGATTTGCAACTAGGTCTGCGAATTTCAAAACCCAAGTTCGCATAGAAGAGAAAACGAAATTGAATAAATTACCTGCAGATTTGAAGGCTGACGAGCGAAATCGGATAGTCGCAGATGTCTGTGGTTGGCTGTGGAGGCAAGTGACGGTGAGAAGCAATGGAGGATACCCGCGGCGAGAGCCAGAGAAGGTATCGGGAATTTTTAGGGATTTAGCTTAAATTTTTTTGAAAGATATGCCGGGTCGAATTTAATCCGTTTATTGCAGTCGGGTTTTCGGATCTGAAATCAATTTCATTGGGCCTACGCGGGACCCGACCTTAAAGCCCAACAAGTCGCATTATTTGATTCGTTATTTATTTAAATTTTTAAAATATGTCAAAAACAAAACCTCTCTTGTTTTCTAAAAAAAAATTTAAATTTTAATTAATTAGGTTTGTTCTAGTTATAGGTAATTTATATTTTTAAGTAATAAAATTCGAACTAAAAATCTAAGAGACTAATTAAATATTTTTTAATTTTTTTTTATTAAAACATTAAAAAAAATATGAAAACTAATATTCAATAACTGAATTTATACCGTGTCATAACAATTAAGGTAAATGTGCATATAAAATTTCTAAATAACATGCAATTAACTTGATTAATAGAAGTATTGTTTTTAAATAGACACTATAGATTTTGAAATTTTAAATCATTTACTAATTTTTTTTTTTCTTTTTACGTGAAGAACTCTTTTAATGTACGTATTTTGACATTATAAGATATTCATAATAATAATAAAAACTTCTACAATCAATTTTTTTTTTGATAACATTATCTCATACAAGTGTAAAACATTCAAAAACCTGTTGGAGCTTTGCCTCTAATGGACTTCAAGGTTCGAGGCTGTTAATATAATTTGTCACCAAATTATTCAAGATTATTTTTAAGAAAATTTCTGATTGTCACTTGGTCCATACAAATATAAATTATCAATTGATATAAATTGTATCTATATCTAAAAATGGGAGAAAAGCCCACGAGAAAAAGCCCAAATCAAACCCTTCAAATTTTTCTCCTCTTCCAAAGTCAAGCCCCAACCAGCTCCAAGATCAAATCTTCTTTCCTAAACCCTAACGAAAACCCCTCATTCTCTCTCGCACACCCTCCTTTTCCCAAAACCCAGAAAGGGAATCAATCGAGAATGGGCAGCCAGCAAGCCGCCGTATCGTTCCTGACGAACCTGGCCAGAGCAGCTTTCGGGCTTGGCGCATCGGCAACCTTGCTCAACGCATCGCTTTACACAGTCGACGGTGGAGAGAGAGCCGTCTTGTTTGACAGATTCAGGGGAGTGCTGGATGAGACGATCGGAGAAGGGACACATTTCCTGGTTCCATGGCTTCAGAAGCCCTTCATCTTCGATATCCGGACCAGACCTCACACCTTCTCCACCATCTCGGGAACCAAGGACCTCCAGATGGTCAACCTCACTCTTCGTCTTCTCTCCCGTCCAGAGGTACTGATGCCCATGTGCATTTCTTCCGATTTCCTTTTTGGGTTCGTTGTTAGTGGTTTCTGTTGTTTGTCTGGTTGGTAATTTTTTTTAGATAAGTTTGTCTGGTTGGTAGTGGAGGGAGGTAGATGAATTAATGATAATTGGGTCTATGTGGTCAGCTTTTGATTGTGAAAATTTGCTCCTAATAATCTATAACTGTAAATTGTTGGGTTAGAAGGAGGTACATAGTTAAAAGGATAGGACTATTGAAATTGTTTCGTTAGAAGGAGGCATCCCGTTAATTTTAACCTGAATGGTAGTAGTAATTTTCATTTCTTGGAAAATTCAGGAATTTATGTGAATGATTTGATTGTTTAATAAAGGTATCTCGCCTTCCGTATATCTTCCAACACTTGGGTCTGGAGTATGATGACAAGGTGCTTCCCTCAATCGGAAATGAGGTACTGAAGGCTGTTGTTGCCCAGTTCAATGCTGATCAGCTTCTCACTGAGCGGCCCCATGTGTCAGCGATGGTCCGAGAGTCACTGATAAGGCGTGCAAAGGACTTCAACATTGTGCTGGATGATGTAGCAATTACACACTTGTCTTATGGAGTGGAGTTCTCGAGGGCAGTTGAGCAGAAGCAGGTGGCACAGCAGGAGGCAGAGAGGTCCAAGTTTGTTGTGATGAAGGCTGATCAGGAGAGAAGGGCTGCTGTTATCAGGGCTGAAGGTGAAAGTGAGTCTGCTCGTCTAATTTCGGAGGCAACTGCAACCGCTGGTTTTGGGCTAATCGAACTGAGGAGAATTGAGGCATCTAGGGAGATTGCTTCTACTCTGGCAAGATCACCCAATGTGGCATATTTGCCTGGTGGGAAAAGCATGCTTTTTGCCCTGAATCCAGCCACACGTTGAGATATGTGTAAGTTTTAATTTTTATTGTCGTTCCTTGAATCGCCAGTGGATATTGCAGTTTAGTCTATTGCTCTATGTACGAATGACTGGAAAAACTGAATCAAATCATTGATTTTATTTCAAGTTTCTCTGTGCTTCATTTTGGATGTTTTGAGAACCTACAATATTGGAACATGTAATGACCAAGTTATTAATCTAACCCTCTTCAAAACAAGGAGAAAAGGTAAAATAAAGCATAGAAATATTCTCCTTAAGGAGATATTTCCTTTAGCTTCTGATGGTTTCCTTTATACCTTCCATGAGCTATCAACGTACAATGATTGCCTGCTCCACCTGCATTACTCTAATTCCATGATTTCTAGTCACTTATGTAGATTTAGTTCATTAACCCTTTCCTCTAAATTTCAAATTCATAAAGTCTGGAACAAGAATAATGGTTCTCAGCATTTCAATAATTTCAAAATCTAGAGTTATATACCTATCTGTTCTCTCTCGGTCTCATGGATTGTTTTCTTCTGAAATGGGGATATATGTGTAATCTTCTATCCTATCACGTTTATCCGTGTTCCGTTCCTGTTTTTTCATCTGGGTTTCACATTGTTTTATCTTGCTTGATTATTTGGAGGCTTTTCATTTTACTCATCTGGGTTTGACCTTTTACTTGCGCTTTTGGGGGTGGTTTGATTCTTGCATTAGTTTTCTGTTAATTTGTTCTTTTAATTATTTACCATTTTTTAACTCTTGCCCTAATGAATAAGAGTGATAAACTGCCAGAAAACTTGTACATAAATGTCATAAATGATACTTACTGCTAATAGTTCCTTGATTTTGTTTTTAAGACCATATATGCAAATTATTGTGAGCTCGCTTAAAATCTTGCGGATTGAGCTTTAAGAAGTTACATTATGTTAGTGGTGAAAGTGCAAATTGTTGCAGGAGGTCCTTCAAATTGAACCAGATTTGGAAAAAGGGGACAATTTCAAAACACAGAACTCTTAAATTAATGCGTAATCTAACACAAATGAAAAGAAAAAGGTCAAAAACCGAAAAATGGTGGAATAAAATATTTGATTGTGATGTAAATTTTGGTCTCATATTCAGATCAGAAGACTGATACAGCTAATGAATAACTTGGTAGTAATGTTGATGCGGGTGCTAGACTTCTTAACTGTCTTGAAGCTGACTCTGAAATAATTGACTTTTCTTTGACATTTCTACTGGAACTTTGTGTTTGAAGAACTAGACTCTGATATTGAGGTCAGAAGACTGATTCAACTAAGGTTAATAAACAGTCCTGTCAAACTTTAATTGATTTCTCTTCTACAAGTGTTGGTAAACCTCTTGGCAATTCGGAATTGATTTAAGGTTAGCTTTGTAACTACAATGTATAGATTTAGAGGGTATAGTTTTAACAGAGTATGTGCTTTAAGTAGTTACCTCTTTGGTTAAATATTCGTATTAAAATAACTTCTGGTTGTATTTTTAATAGAAAAATAAGAACATTAGCTAATTATTTCAAAAAAATAAGAACGATAGCTAAATAACTAAATAAACATGTTAAGAAAAATAGGTATTCTACAAAAATATTAGAAAATTAGGTTCTTACTTTTTTTGCTGCTTAAAGCTAATAGCACATAACAACTACTATGTTTTCCATGTTACTATAAGCGTAAATTAAAAATAAAGGGCGTAAAGCTGGTCATAAAAGGTAAGTAACCTCAAACACCATTTTAGTTATTTTTAGTACTTTCCTTGCTCTTATTCGGACTTTCTTTCTTTGCCCTCTTGCTATATGTTGTGTTGGGTTGGTTCCTTGTTTTACTTGATAAAAGATGACAGACACAACTTCTTTTGTGTATTTCAGGATGTTTTCTTGTGGAATCCAGTGAATAGTTGTCATATAGGAAACCCAGAAGGAGATTTCTGCCATTTTGAAAGGTTATCAGCCATATTTACTCTGAACATTGAACTTGTATCTTATGGTTGGATGAGACCCAGCTGCTCGTTTATTGATTTTATTAATTTCGGACATGAGTTATCTAGAGTTTCCTTTGGATGTAGGATTATAACAATTTGTGGTGAGAAGAATTTGCAGCAAAAGAAGCTGGCTAAGCTGAAATTGATTTTAGTTTGGTTCAGTTCGGTTCAGTTCATTGGTTTCAGTTTATATATATATATATATATATATATACTGAAGTATTGGTGGACTTTGTTTTGTTGTTCAATAAACGTAGAATAAAGTTTAGTTCTGCTAATGATGATTTAGCTTCTCAAAACAAATTCAATGGATCCATGAATTAGATGCTTTATGCAGGTGCATGAATTATGTAATATATATATATATTTATATCTTTTTGTACGAGATAAAAGTTGAAAATAAGATTTCTAATATGATCAAGAACATAAACGACCGCCAAGTGAAAGTTTGTTGATTCATATGCATAGATTTTGATTATAACTTTACCATAACGAGGGATAAGAATTGATTTTTTCTGAAGTCACGCTCAAAATCATCATATTAGTTCTGTTAAATTTCATTTTTACATAGTTCTAACTAATTTAGGAGAATGGAAATTATTAAGAAAAAAATATCATAATTATATATATATATGTATATATATAGAGAGAGAGAGAGAGGCTTTTACTCCGTTAATATGAAATATTTAAATTTAAAATCCCGATTACTTTTCAAATGAATTTTCATTTTCCCAAAAATTCATAACAATTTTACTTTTTCTCATTCCATTTTAACCCCTTAGGTTTTATCCAAAATCCTTCCTCATTACACAAATCCAAAATACACAATTCCTTATTAAAGGAAAAATCTAAAATACAATATACTAAAGCCATATATAAATCTTTAAGTAAAATATACTAAACCCACAAAATTATGATATAAAATTTGTTAATTATATTATTGATAATAAAAAATATTATACCATATATAAATCATATTTACATAGTTTGTCTTGAATCACGACAAAAAAAATTATGTTTGTATATTTTCAAATTAAATAGACTTAAATATTTTAAATAGAATATATTAATACATGTGCAATTTTTTTAATTAATTTTTAATAATATAATTTAAGTGATAATTATAATGTATTTATTTTAAATATAAAGGAAGAGACTTAACAATTAAAAAATTATAAATAAAATTTCTAAAAAAAATTATTAAAAAAATAGTGTATTTAATGGTCTCATCTTAATTTTTGTATTTTTAGAGTAATTATATATTAAATATAAAGTAATTTTTTTTGGAATAATTAAAATCAGAATTTATTTTTGAGAAATTTTAAAACTAAAAATTGTGCATTATAATTTTTTAGAAAATAATTTTAATTTTTATTAGAAAATTACATCTAAAATTTCAAAATTAATTTTACCAAATATAGAATTTTTAGTTGTTTTAAATAATAATTTGTTTACAATTATTTTGATTAAATTAATTAATTGATAATTATTTGAACGAGCACAAAAACCCACCACAAAGTCATTAGCCTGTATAAACAAACATGTTTCTTTTTAATTTTCTTTTTTCAGCCAAATTTCTGGTTTTCCTTTTTTACCCTTCATATTTCGCGTATTTATCACGCGGAGGTGGCGTCACAAAGACGCACTGCAGCCCGTCTATAAAAGCCAGAGACTTTCAGAGGCTTCTACGTCACTGGTACTCTCTCTGCTCTGGCTCTGTCCGGGTGCACTTCTTCCCGCCTCTGATCCCTTCGAACTTATTAATTTTGCTTATGTTTAATCTTATTAAATTAGGTTTTTCTTTTCTACTGGTTCTGTTATTGCATTCATCAAGCGGAGGTATTTTGGATCGACCACCACCCGGTCCTCGAACGCCTCTATCTGCAAATTCTGATTACTCATTTGTTCTGCTCCCACTCGAACACCAACTCCGATCTTCTACTCAAATTTAATTCTGAGACTACCCAATCGAAACCCTTTAGTTTTTGACGATGGTAATGAAAACCAGAAACGAGTGGGAGAAATACATGTACGAAAAGGCGGGCTAGGGTTTTGAAATCGTAGGAGTCTTGTAGAGAAAGTGGAAAAGGGAGGTAGAGATTGGGGAAAACAGAATCATTCACTAAAATTAGAAACAGAGGATATGTTTTTTTGATGAAAAAGAACAAGGATCAAATGGGTTCTCCCAAAGTTCTTCGAATTAAGGAAACATCAACGGGGAAGACCATGTCTGCGCACTGAAAATGGCAGATTTAGAAAATTACCCACATGGCGGACGTGATCAAGATGGCATCATCATTGTCGACCATGGCTTGCGTCGAAAAGAATCCAATCTCATGCTAAGTAAGAAATGAAATTTAGCTCTTTTCCAAATTTTCTTCTTTGTTTTTTGTTTTTAATTATATTCGACTTTAAGTGCTTCGCTGATTTTTGTCTCAACTATGGTGAATTTCAGATGAATTTGTTGCCATGCTCAGAGATGAAACTGGGTATCAAATTGTGGAGCCTGCTCATATGGTAAATTTTCAATTGCTTGCCTTTCTTGTGCACGTATGTTCATTTCCAAAATTTGGTTTTCATATGGTTCAGTTGGTTAACAGTTTGAAGACCGTCTTTTTGAAAATTATAGTTTAGAAATTTCATGACGTCAATATTTTCAGTTTGTTTACATGCTCAAATATGTCCAGGAGAATCCTTTTCTTTTATAATCCTTTTTTCATTCTGAAGTCTGAGGTTCTTGTAGTTATATCTCAAATGTGCAAAATCTTTTACCAGTAAGATGGGTTAAAGATAGTCCATAAAGCTTCTGAATGATCAATTGCAAATTCTTTTTCCAAAAGATCTCAGATCATGTATGGACAGTGAGTGATGTCATTGTCCTTGTAATATGATATTTAAATTTCAAATAATATTCTGGTTTGGCTCTTTATGTTGTATACTCCTCAGTTGGATCAAACTTTTGACTCGGTTTGGCACAGATCGTTTTGGTTGTTTATTCTTTGATGTTGCTTTAGATGTACATACTTTAGAAACTCATGGAAAAGCAATTGCCCATATTGTGCTCGATGATATTCTTCTCATGATGGTGGCAGCCTGCAGATGTTCTGCAGTGGTCTTTTTGAAGAATAGGGTATTTAATTTATTGAAGTATCATTAGTTATGTCATAAGCTAGAAATTGTATTTCCCGTTGGAGCTCGTTTGATCTGAAAAGGATGCCAACCATATCATTTTATGTTTTAGGAAAGGTGCAGAGATTAAAAAGTTGTAACTTGTGACCACTTGGTTTTCTACTTTGTTTCTCTGCTGTTATAAAGTAGCAATTGCTCTTGAAGCACACTCGAGATACTCATAGCTACATAATGTTATTTGTTATGCTCATACTTCTTAAAGCTATATATTTGGTTGCCTAGATGTTTTTCCCAAAGGTAATATTTCAAAGATGATGGGCACAATTCCTTAGCTCTGATGCTATTTATTCAGTTTAGTGTGTGTACTGTGTTGACTTGGTTTACTTATTTTTTGGATTGCTAGAATTTTCTATACATTTTGTGGCATCATTAATTCCTTGGAACTAAAATCTTGGGCTTTGTAAAACCAACCAAATAAATAGGAGTTGGCAGAACCATCAATAAGAGATGCATTTGGTTCATCTGTTCAACAAGGAGCAAATGGTGTGATAGTAAGCCCCTTTTTTCTCTTTTCTGGACGACACTGGCATAAGGTAACTTATTATATTTTTGCTTTGTTCCCTTGACCTTAATCTACATGCTTGATTAATGGCTACACCATTTTGTTGAAGGTATTGTGGAAAATATTAAAATTCTAGCCTTGTTAATTTGATTGCATGTTTCATAGGATATTCCTTCCTTAACTGCTAATGCTCTAAAAGTGTATCCTGGCGTGCCATACATCATAACTGCTCCTCTTGGCTTGCACAAGCTTCCTTGTGGTATGCTGGTATTTACGTTAATCTTGCAAAGACTTTTTGAGTCATCACCATATTTTCAAATTGTGCTTAGCTTTATTTTTAGTTATCCTTACTTGATTAATATGTAGATTATTCATGAGTACAGGGGGGATGACAATACTACTCAGTTAATGCAATTAAATCAAGCTTTTACCCAATATCTCCATGAAACCAGTATTTATTTGTGTTAAAACGAAAACTTTCATCCTTATTATTACTGATTTTCACCAGCTTCCAAAAATATAGTTGGTTATAGTTGGTTCACAGTTGATTAACAGTTGAGTCATCAGTGAACATGGGTGAGTTCAGAGTGATGATGTTCAAGAACCATCAAAAGTGGAAGCAAAGAGGGTAAAATAGCTCGATTCATTTTTTTTTTAAATTGAGGGTGTCTTTATTTGGTTTTTTAAAACAATTGTTCCTATTGGTGCCTAAGTAAATTTTCCTCAATTTTTTGGGGCAATCCGGTCCCTCGGAATAGTTCCATTTCTTAAAAAAATGTGACTTGATCGTTTAGCTGGAAGTAAATATTTTTTGATATATCAACTTAAAGTTTTTAAACCTTTTGTTGAAACATAATTACAATAGGTGTTTCATATGAAAAGTGTGGAACACTAATAGAGGCTCAGTTAATTGTTTATAAACTGAAAAATGTGTTGTATCTATTTTTTAGAAAAGAAAATGTCACTCGGTGCATAAGAATGTGAATCTTGATTTTGTGGCAAAATGAAAATGCTTTGATCCCTCAAGTTGTACCAACTCGAAAAGACGTGCCTTGAAATTTCAATTCAAAGTAAATATGTTTTGGTATGTCAGTTTGAAAGTAAAAGTTTCTTTGGTGACACACTTTCTTATGGAGAGTTAGGCAACCTTTCACTTAGTGATGGCAATGTGCTTTTCCAATCTATTTTTAGAATGGACGGAAAAATTTGATGATTGGTTATGAGAATTATCATTTTATGTGATGAAACTTGTCGCTCTTCATCTTGAAGCCACATTGATAATCTTGATGTAGTTTTGTTCCTCAGTAAAAGTGCCTCAATTTGATGTTTTAAAACCGACACTGTATTAACTAATTCTTTGAAAATAAACGTGCCTCGTATTTAAGCAAAAACTTAGTTTTTGAGGAAAAGTAAAATTCCTTCTATCTCTCAGTTGGTCGGAATATAAAAATAAATATGCTTTGATGTTTTGCTTGCAAGTAAGTATTCTTTTGGTGTGTGGTTTTAAAGCTTTTTTGTTTTTGTTAAAAAATAGTTTCTTTTTGAAATATAAAAAATAGTTTTCTTATGGTGTCCTGCATTAAAAGTGATGTGAGCATGGATCATCTTGGGTCACATGGAAGAGACATCATCATGCCAAGTGGGCCCATAACAAAGAGCCATACCCAAAGATTACAACAAGCTTTCCAACTCTTCATCCAAGTTTGGATTAATTAGGAAGATGGGTTTGGACCCACTAAAGAAGCCCAATGAAATAAGTTATCCAACAAATTAATCCAAGGACATAATGGTCTTATCAATTTTTTTCAAGCACATGGTGGAAATGGGTAAGAAAAGGAAGCAATCAGCTGAGAAAAATGGTAAGACCATATTTATCATAATTAGGAATTTAGATTTTAATTTTAATTAATTCCCTATGTAATTGCACTTAGTTAAAAATTTAGACTTTATTTTTAATTAATTTCCTATGTAATTGCAATTTTAATTAGGAGATTTTTATTATCTTTTTATTCACATGGCTTACCATATAAATAAGCCATCAAATCTTTATTGTAAATATTTAAGATTAAAATCAATAGTGTTGTGAGTTTTATTCAAGAAAAGTGTCTTCATCATTCTTGTTGAGTAAGGAGTGGATATACTTATCAAGGTAATTTCTTATGTTGTTGTTCCATTCTTCTTTTAATTCTCAATTTTTCAGTGATCTTAGTTCTTATCATTCTTGATAGAAGGTTAAGTAGGGAGGGTTTTTATAAGATAAAATTTCTTTGGTGACTTGAATGAAATTATCTGAGTTCTTGATCGCGTTGGTTGATCTTGAGTTTTGTATCAAAAAGTGTTCTAGTTTGGAATGTTCTAGTTTGGAAAGTAAAGGAGACGCAATTTATAGTTTTGAACCTGAAAATGATTTTTATATATTATTTAAAGATAAATGTGACTTGATGGATGAGAAAATGAATTTCGATTTCTTGGGGCAATGTAAATCTGCTTTGGCCCCTCGTGTAGTTCCAATTTTTGGAAAAACAAGTGTTGAGCTCTTGATTCAAGAGAAATATGTTTTTGTGTGGCTGTAAAAGTAGAGGATGTTGTGACGACACCACTTCTGATATGGTAATTTGCTTTCCTAATATATGATAACCACGAATGGCAAACTTGTATACTCGATTGCGGGAACTGTCATATTCAATTTATGTAAGATATATGAGATATGTTTTGAAGGTTTGAATTTCATGATCTTTTGGCACGAGAGTGTATCCTTCTACGTCCCATATTCTGAAAGTAAAAGGCCTCGATTAATTTTTTTGAGAGTGAGTGTGACCATTTCTTTTTTTAAACAAATTTGTTTGTTGGTGCCTGAGCAAATGTTTCTCAATTTCTGGGGCAACGTAAGATTTTGCTAGTCCCTTGGATAGGTCTTTGGTGTGCTGGTTTAAAGTTTCTTGATTTTTTGCTTTAAAGATAAATTTACAGGTGTCCCATATGGAAAGTATACCAGTTGGAAAAGTAAGTGGATCTCAAATAATTTTTTAGAGACTGAAAGCGTGTTGTATCTATTATTTAAAAGATAAATGTGCCTCGGTGCAAAAGAAAATTATTTTAGATTTCCTGCAGAAAAGTAAAACTTTTTTGATGCCTCGGGTTGGCCGAACTCTAAGTTGTGGTTTGAACATTTGATTTAAAGTAAATATTTTTCAGAATATGTTGGTTGAAGATAAAAGTTACTTTGATGTGACCCCAATTCTCTTGGAGAGTTGGCAACCTTTCTTTTATAGAGTTGGCAGTTTCTCAATCATTTATTACTATGGATGAAAGACATGAGTGCTTAATTATAGGAATTTTTCATTCTATTTGAGAAAGGTTGTCGATCTTGATTTTGAAGCCAATTTAATAAACTCGATATGCTTTCGTTCTTTAGTAAAAGTGCCTAAATTCGTTGTTTCGCAGAAGAGAGTGCATTGGTTTATTATTTCAAAACAAATGTACTTTGATGTCTAGGCAAAGGTTTTTCAATTTCTTGGGAAAAAGTAAAAATTCCTCCGATCGCCATGGTAGTTGGAACTCGGAAAAAAATATGCATGGATGTTTTTTGGTTGCAATTAAATATTTTTTGGTATGTTGTTTCAGAGTTTCTTTGTTGTTTTTGTTTAACAATAATTGCTTATGGTGCCCCATATGGAACGTGTCTAGGTTTGGACGTAAGAGAGTCTCAATTGATTCTTTTGGAAATAAAAGTGTGCTTTGTCTAATGCTTAAAATAAATTGCCTTGATGGATAAGAATTTCTTTTTTGATTTCTTGGGGCAATTTAAATATTCTCTGTTCGAGTCCTAATTCTAAAAAGACGTGCTTTGAGCTTTTGATTCATCGAAAACATGTTTCTGTATGTGGCTAATTTGGTGGCATGATTCCTCTTAAAAGGTTTATCAATCAAAAAGTGAAAGTTATTATGTTTACAATACTGCTCTTAGAGATTTGGATGTCCGCTCTCCTAATCCATTAGAGCCGCGGGCTAAAGATGTATAGGTTTAGTAATGCTATCTGACAGTTTATGCATAAACTTTTGTTGTTTATAAACTTATATGCTCAGTTATGTGTTAGTTTTACTAGAAAGAGTGTTTTGTTTCTCTTTATTGCATCCTATATATTAAGTGACACAACGAAGGTATTGAGATTTGGTAGAAAATGATGTCATCTTGGTCACTGATTTCACAAGTTTCTATCAGAAAAGTTTTTTTGGCCCTCTAGAATTTTATATTAAATGATATGAGTAAAGTAAAAGTGTCATGATCTTTTAAGTTCCGAAATAAAAATGCCTTTTGCCTCGTAGGCGCAAAGTATATGCAGCTTACATTTGTGTATCTACTTAGGTATGCCATTATCTTTTTTCTTGGTTCACTGGTAGGTTATACCAAAAATTCTAATTCTTGAAATTGGTGGAGCTTACCATACATACATGTCCGGGCTACAACGAAGAGTGTAGTTGAGTTATCACTATTTGGAACATACAACTTTGCACTAAACTTCAACAGTGTGAGTCGATCTCTTAGACTTACACATTTTACTTTCCCAAATTTTTTGTTTAAAATCTTATTCGACCAGCAATTCAGGGATTAAGATTGAGAGTAGAATATTTTATTTTAAATATTTGGAGAATAACTATATGCTGAATTTGTCTTAATTCTAATAATTGTTCTAATGTAGTTCTTCATAAATTTACCAAGAAAAACTAAATTGGAACAAGGATCAAATCTTCCTAAGTGAGATTAATGGTGTTTTTGCTCTTACTGAGTTTTATAGGGTTGTTGTCTCATATTTGTATCTGCACTTTGTGTATTGTTGAAATGGAAGTTTATAGCTTGAACTTCCATTTTGGTGGATTTTTTGTCTTGAAAAGTAAGTCATTTAGCATGGTCCACTTTCACTGGAACCCATAATAATCACGTTAACTCTTAATAAAGGGATTGATTCATGAATATCCAACAAATTTTGTGCTTGACTAGGGATTTTTTGTTGATAAATAGATCTTCAGAAATGTTGGTTTTAGTGATTTTGATTTTACGCACAAGTAGCTGTCTTTGTTCTATTTGTGTCTTTTTGTTTACTTAAGCTCCTGTTGTTCATAATTTTTTTTTTGAGATAACAAAAAAAAAAAATGTTGTTCGTAATTTCTTTTTCTGTTGCAAAATCAGGAGTCAATATTTTGCTTCTTAGTAAATGATTATTTATACTGTGTGATGCTCTTGGAAGTTCTTTCACTATGACTTGATCCTTTCACGTGTCTTTGATTTGTAGGGACTGTATCATAGCTAAATGATATCCTTCGTACAGTTAAAGTTGGTGATTGTTAATTCAAGAGGTGCTCAATAGCTGGCTACACTTCTAGCTATTGGTGCAGAAAACACTGCATTCTTATTCTATCTCATAAGTTCATTTCATTTTGAGTACTCATTTACGCAGGGAAAAAAGACACGACTGCTAATATTAAGAATATGCTGGTCCTTGTTAACTTTGGCTACATAGCTTGGCTCTAAATTGTTTCTTTGTTGGCATTATGGTAATTCCATTTTGCGTTTTGTTTATTTTTGCCCAACTTTCAAGAATCAGAATGAAAATGCTAACCTTCTTCTTTCCTGATATTTTTTTGTTATCCATTCGAAGCTGAAGTTCAACGATTTTAGAGTTCCAAACGCACTTGTTCTGGTAGGCTGAAGAAATGCCCGGATTATACAGGTCCCCACTTGCGCATTATAAGAAATGCCTGCATCATACGAAGATGTTTATTATATAGGAATCCGGAATGCTTGGTTTTGTTTGGCTAAAGAGTGCCTGGAAAGTCTCCCTGTCCCTGGTCTAACGCGTGCAAGGTATTGTGAGACTTTTCGAGCAGTAGGAGTTACCACTTGTGTTGAACATTCAAGTCACCACTTCCGGAATGCTTGGTTTTGTTTGGCTAAAGAGTGCCTGGAAAGTCTCCCTGTCCCTGGTCTAACGCGTGCAAGGAATTGTGAGACTTTTCGAGCAGTAGGAGTTATCACTTGTGTTGAACATTCAAGTCACCACTTGCCTTTGCCGTAGTGAGTCAACCTCTGAGACATAAATGCTTTTCTTCTTTGAATTTTTTTTTGAAATCTTGTTGTTGAAGGGTTGAGGTAATAGAATTAATAGAACTTATTTATTTCTAAAACCACCCCTTTTATGTATGTTGATATCCCAATTTGAAGAAGTGTAATAGAACTTCTGATTTTCTAAGGTTTGTTTTTTTTTTTCTAAGCAAACATTTGTGGTCACAAAAAGTTGTTATTTATGATAAGCAAGACAATTACGAAGGAAGACGAATGATCCTAATTGTGATGCTGCTAACTTCTTGTTGCAGATGTTTATTAGAGTTGTTATGTTCGAGATGAGACCAGGTCTTTGCTAGTTGCTGGATACACAGACCATCAGGTCTGTCTTGCACGTGAGTGTTATTTTTACCTTCTACAGTCTTCATCATTGTATTTTCACTTTTGCCAAGTGCTATATAAAGTATTCATCTTACGTTTGTCTCTGTTTTGATGTATATGTTTAAATTGAATTTTTTTTCTTAAACTTGCATTTTGATGCATTTTGTCTTGAGAAGTTAATTATTTACGATGGTTCCATTTCAATAGAATTCATGGTATTCCTTGCAATCCTTAATCAAGGGATTGCACCGAAAATATCCTACAGAATTTCTCCTGCCCTTGGGGTTAAATTTTACTGAACAAATCATCATAAATAATAGCTGTTAATGATTTTTTTAATATTTGTTTTACCCGGAAACAGATTTTTTTCCCCTTCTTTGTTATTCTCTTTCTTCTTAAATATTTTTTTATAGGTGCAGCTATTTTTATTCCATATTTTCCTTATTGTTGACTTAACCTTATTTTCCTATAAATTTTTTCTGTTGCTTCAGTAGTGATCTAAGATCCTTGTCAATTCTTACATTTTCAATTGTGAAACATAGTAAGAGTTATAAATGGGTTCGTGTCTACAAAAGTCGGTTTTGTATTAAATTTAGATATATGTATTTTTTAAATTTCATTTCTGTCTAGTTATTTATTTGTTTATTTTTTCTAAACTCAGTGGACTTATGCGTTCGTCCAAGTTTCTCATAAATTTTTACTAGCTCCACCAGAGTTAAATTGTGATAAATATAGAAATGGAAATAACCAGTAGGGAAGCTAATGGTTTTCAACAAGACTCAAATTACTCCACTCCTCTCCTCGTCATCGTTCTTGATGGACCAATTGTTCTCTGTTTCTATTCCATTTCATGTGTCATTCACAGTTTTGTCATCTGAGCACTAAAATGATCAATATTGTTGCATTGTTGCAAGCAGATCATGTCCTCTTATTGTATTATTGTTTTGATATTAGTTAATTTGCTGTGTGACATTCATGGGACTTCTGTCCATATAGCTTTATCCTTTTCCTTGTTTCTTTGATTTATAGGGACTATATCCTGGCAGTATTATAGTTTTCGTTCAATCAACATGTAGTTTGCTTGTTCGAGAGGTATGTAATATTCATCTTATGTGAGAAAGTAGATTTGCATTTATTCGTCGGTAAAAGTGACTTAATTTATTTTATTGTAAGCGAGAGGAAATTGATTTATATTTTCAAAATAAATTTGCGTCCTTGTTTAAGAAATTTTGTTTTTCAATTTCTTAGGAGAAAGTAGAATTTCTTGTGTCCGTCCGGTAGTTTGACCTTAAAAAAAAATGTTGCTGGATCTTCTGGCTGCAAGTAAATATTTTTTGGTATCGCTTTAAGTTCCTTGTTTCTTTCGTTAAAAAATAATTTTTTACGGTGTCCCGATTTGGAAAATAAGAAAGCAAGTAAATATGTCTCGATATGTTTGAAAGAAAAACTTACTTTGATGACACACTTTCTCTTGAAGAGTCGGTAAAGTTTCTCATATAGAGTTGACAAACTAGCGCGGACAGAAAACATGGATGCTTGGTTATCGGAATATTCATCTTATGTGAGAAAGGTTGTTGTTCTTCATTTTGAAGCCACATCAAGTAACTAGATTTGCTTTTGTACGTCGGTAAAAGTGCCTTTTATTTTATTGCAAGTGAGAGAAAATTGATTTATTGTTTAAAAATAAATTTGCGTCCATGTTTATTAAAGAGCTTTTCGATTTCTTTGGAGAAAGTAGAATTCTTTGTGTCTGTCTGCTAGTTTGAACTTAAAAAAAAAGTGGCTGGATATTCTGAATGCAAGTAAATATTTTTTGTATTGTTTTAACTTTCTTGCTTCTTTCGTTGAAAATAATTTTTCTCGGTGTCCTGGTTTGAAAACTAAGCAAGTAAATATGTCCCGATATATTAGTTTGAAAGAAAAAGTTATTTTGATGATACACTTTTTCTTGAAGAATTGGCAAAGTTTCTCACATAGAGTTGACGAATTGGCGCAGACATAAAACATGGATGATTTGTTATCAGGATACTCATCTTATGAGAGAAAGGTTGTTGTTCTTCATTTTGAAGCCACATCAAGTAACTAGATTCGCTTTTTATTTGTCAGAAAGAGTGTCTTAATTTATTTTATTGAAAGTGGGAGGAAATTGATTTATTTTTTCATAATAAATTTTTGTCCATATTTAAGGAAAAATTATTCGATTTTTTTCGGAGAAAGTAGAATTCTTTGTGTCCGTCCAGTAGTTTGAACTTAAAAAAAATGTGGCTGGATCTTCAGATTACAAATAAATATTTTTTGGTATCCCTTTAAGTTTCTTGCTTCTTTCATTGAAAAATAAATTTTTACGATGTCCCAGTTTGGAATGTAAGCAAGCAAATAAATATGTCCCGATATATTAGTTTGAAAGAAATAGTTACTTTGATGACACACTTTGTCTTGAAGAGTCGGCAAACTTTCTCACATAGAATTGATAAATTAGCGCAGACATAAAACATGGATGCTTGGTTATTGGAATATTCATCTTATGTGAGAAAAGTTTTCGTTCTTCATTTTGAAGTCACATTAGGTAACTAGATTTGCTTTTGTTCGTAAGTAAAAGTGCTTTAATTTATTTTATCGAAAGTGAGAGGAAATTGATTTATTATTTCAAAATAAATTTGTGTTCATGTTCAAGGAAGAGCTTTTTGATTTCTTTGGAGAAAATAGAATTTCTTGTGTCTGTCCTGTAGTTTGAACTTAAAACAAAAGTAGCTGGATCTTCTAATTGCAAGTAAATATTTTTTTGTAACGTTTTAGGTTTCTTGCTTCTTTCGTTGAAAAATGATTTTTTACAATATTCCGGTTTGAAAAGTGAGAAAGCAAATAAATCTGTTATGATATATTAGTTCAAAAGAAAAAAATTATTTTGATGATGCACTTTCTCTTGATGAGTCAGCAAACTTTCTCACATAAGTTGACAAATTAGCACAGACAATACATGGATGCTTGGTTATCGGGATATTTATCTTATGTGAGAAAGGTTGTCGTTCTTTATTTTAAGGCCACATCAGGTATCTAGATTTATTTTTGTTCATTGGTAAAAGTGCCTTAATTTATTTTATTGAAAGTGAGAGTAAAATTGATTTATTATTTCAAAATAAACTTTCATCTGTGTTTAAGGAATTTTTTTTTGATTTCTTCGGAGCAAGTAGAATTCTTTGTGCCCTCCGGTAGTTCGAACTAAAACAAAACGTGATTGGATCTTCTGACTGCTAGTAAATATTTTTTGGTATCGCTTTAAGTTTCTTGCTTCTCTTGTTGAATAATAATTTTTTACGGTATTCCGGTTTAAAAAGTAAGCAAGCAAGTAAATATGTCTCGATATATTAGTTTGAAAGAAAAAGTTACTTTGATGACACTTTTTCTTGAAGAGTTTGCAAACTTTCTCACATAAAGTTGACAAATTAGCGCAAGCATAAAACATAGATGCTTGGTTATCGGGATATTTATCTTATGTGAGATAGGTTGTCGTTCTTCATTTTGAAGCGACATTAAGTAACAAGATTTGCTTTTGTTTGTCGGTAAAAGTGCCTTAATTTATTTTATTGAAAGTGAGAGAAAATTGATTTATTGTTTCAAAATAAATTTTCGTCTGTGGTTAAAGGAAAAGTTTTTCGATTTCTTCTGAGAAAGTAGAATTCTATGTGTCTGTTTGCTAATTTGAACTTAAAAAAAAATGTGACTGGATCTTTTGATTGCAAGTAAATATTTTTAGTATCGTTTTAAGTTTCTTGCTTTTTTCGTTAAAAAAAGTTTTTTATGGTGTCTCGGTTTGGAAAGTAAGCAAGCAAGAAAATATATCCTAATATATTAGTTTGAAAGAAAAAGTTACTTTGATGTTACACTTTTTCTTGAAGGGTTGACAAAATTTTTCACAGAGAGTTGACAAATTAGTGTGGACAAAAAACATAGATATTTAGTTATTGGGATATTCATCTTACGTGAGAAAAGTTGTCATTCTTCATTTTGAAGTCATATCAGGTAACTAAATTTGCTTTTGTTCCTCGGTATGAGTGTCTTAATTTATTTTATTGAAAGTGAGAGGAATTTAATTTATTGTTTTAAAATAAATTTGTTTTCTTCGGAGAAAGTGGAATTTCTTGTGTCTGTCTGGTAGTTTGAACTAAAATAAAATGTGGTAGGATCTTTTGTCTGCAAGTAAATATTTTTTGGTATCGTTTTAAGTTTTTTGCTTTTTTCATTGAAAAATAAATTTTTTAGGGTCCCGGTTTGGAAGGTAAAAAAGCAAGTAATATGTCCCGCTATATCAGTTTGAAAGATGAAGTTGCTTTGATGACTCACTTTCTCTTGAAGAGTCATCAAACTTTCTCACATAGAGCTGACTGTGCTTGGTTTTCGAGATAAAACATGAATGTTTGGTTATTGAGATATTCATCTTATGTGAGAAAAATTGTCATAACTTCATTTTAAAGCCACATCAGTTAACTAGATTTGCTTTTGTTTGTTAGTAAAAGTGTCTTAATTTATTTTATTGAAAGTGAGAGGTAATTGATTTATTATTTCAAAAGAAATATACGTCTGTCTTCAAAGAAATTCTTTTTAATTTCTTCGGAGAAAGTAGAATTCTTTGTGTTCGTTTGATAGTTTCAACTTAAAAAAAATGTGCTCGGATCTTCTGACTACAAGTGCTATTGTTTTAAGTTTCTTTCTTCTCTTGTTAAAAAATAGTTTTTTATGGTGTCCCAGTTTGGAAGGTAAGAAAGCAAGTAAATATGTCCTGCTATATTAGTTTGAAAGAAAAAGTTACTTTGATGACACACTTTCTCTTGAGGAGTCGTTGAACTTTCTCACAGAGAGTGGACAAATTAGCGCGGACATAAAACATGGATGCTTGGTTATTGGGTTATTGAGAAACGTTGTTGTTCTTCATTTTGAAGCCACATCAGAGAACAAGATTTGCTTTTGTTTCTCGGTAAAAATACCTTAATTTATTTTATTAAAAATGAGAGGAAATTGATTTATTATTTTAAAATAAATTTGTGTCAGTTTTTAAGAAAAAGATCTTCGATTTCTTCGAAGAAAGTAGTAGTTTGAACTTAAAAAAAAAAAATCCTAGATCTTTTGACTGTAAGTAAATATTTTTTGGGTACATTTTAAGTTTCTTGCTTCTTTAGTTAAAAAATAAATATTTATGGTGTCCTAGTTTAAAAAGTAAGAGAGCCTCATTTTTTTACTTAGAAACTAAGCATGTTTTATAAATTTTTAAAAATGAATGTGCTTTGATGAATAAAAAAATGTTTCTTTCTTGAGAAAATTTAAATCTGCTCTAGACCTTTGTGTAGCACCAACTGTGAAAAAATGAGTCTTGAACATTTGATTCCTAATACATATGTTTATGTTTGTCGATTTGAAAATGAAAGCTATTGTGATGGCCCCTCCCTCTCTTAGACATTGCAATTTGCTTTCCTAGTATGTGATGATCATGACGAAAGACTTGTATGCTCAGTTATGAGAACTGTTTAAATATAGTTGGAAAAGAATAAAAAATGGCTGGGTCTTTTGGGTAGAGAACATTATTTATGTGGCCCTTGCATCCATAATGAATGTTTTAATTGAGATTTTCGGACCCAAGTATAAGAGTTTCAATTCCATATTAACAAGCTTGCGATCCCAAAATCGCTGTGCTTGGATAATCATTTTGAAAGCTACAGGTTTCTTGATCTTTCAAAACAAGCTTACTTTATATCCTTAGATGTCTCGCATCGAAATATGTAAGTTCGGAAAGTAAAATAGCTCAATTTATTTTTTTGGAACAATCTTGTCCCTCATAATAGTTCCAATTCTTAAAAAAATGTGACTTGATCTTTTTGCTGGAAGTAAATATTTTTTAATATATCAACTTAAAATTTTTTAACCTTTTGTTGAAGCATAATTACAATAGTTATTCCATATGGGAAGTGTACCGATTGGAACATCAGAGAAGCTCAAGCGATTGTTTAAAAGCTGAAAAATGTGTTGTATCTATTTTTCAGAAAAGGAAATGTTTCTCAGTGCATATAAATGCGATTCTTGATTTTTTGTGGCAAAATCAAAACACTTCGATCCCTCAAGTTGTACCAACTCAAAAAAGATATTGCCTGAAATTTCGATCCAAAGTAAATATGTTTCGGTGTGTCGGTTTAAAACTAAAAGTTTCTTTTGTGGCACACTTTCTTATGGAGAGTTAGGGGACCTTTCACTTAGTGACGACAATATGCTTTCCCAATCTATTTTTAGAATGGACGGAAAAATTTGATGTTCGCTTATGGGAATTGTCATTTTATGTGAGGAAGGTTGCCACTCTTCATTTTGTAGCCACATTGATAATCTTGGTGCAGTTTTGTTCTTCGGTAAAAGTACCTCAATTTGATGTTTCAAAACTGGCATTGTATACTAATTTTTTGAAAATAAATGTGCCTCGGTATCTATGCAAAAACTTCACAGTTTTTTAGAGAAAAGTAAAATTCATTTAATCTCTTGATTTTTTGGGGCAATGTAAGATTTTGCCGGTCTCTTAGATAATTTTATCTCTAAAAAATTGTCTCTTGATCTTGTAAGTGGAAGTTATTGTTCTTCGGTATGTTGGTTTAATGTTTATCGATTTTTTGCTTTAAAAATAAATTTACAGGTGTCCCATATGGAAAGTATACCAGTTGGAAAAGTAAGTGGATTTCAAGTAATTCTTAAAAACTCAAAGCGTGTTGTATAAAGATAAATGTGTCTTGGTGCAAAAGAGAATGATATTGGATTTCCTGTAGCAAACTAAAACTTTTTTAATGCTTCAAGACTTTTGATTCAAAGTAAATATTTTTCAGAATATGTTGGTTGAAAGTAAAAGTTACTTTGTTGATACCCTTTTTCTTGGAGAGTTGACAACCTTTCTCTTATAGATCTGGTAGTGTGCTTTCTGACTTATTTATTACTACGGACGAAAGACATGAACGCTCAGTTATAGGAATTATTCATTTTATTTGAGAAAGATCATCGTTCTTGATTTTGAAGCCAATTAATAAACTTGATGTGCTTTCTTTGCTCAGTTAAAGTTTCCAAATTCGTTGTATTGCGATGAGAGTGTATTGGTTTATCGTAAATAAATGTACTTTTATGTGTAGGCAACGGTTTTTCAATTTCTTGAGAAAAGGTAAATCTTCCAATCGCCACGGTAGTTGGAAGTCAAGAGAAGTATGCATGGATTTTTTTTGGTTGCAGGTTAATATTTTTTAGTATTTCATCTCAAAGTTTCTTTGTTGTTTTTGTTTAACAGTAATTGCTTCTAGTGTCCCATATGGAATGTGTCCAGCTTTGGAAAGTAAGAGCGCCTAAATTTATTATTTTGGAGCATAAAAATGTGTTTTGGAATGTAAATTTTTTTTTTAATTTGTTGGGGCAATTTAAATATCTCCAATCCAGTTCTAGTTCTGAAAAAATGTGCATTGAACTTTTGATTCAATGAAAACCTGTTTCTGTATGTGGCTTTGAAAGTAGGAGCTAATTTGGTGGCAATCTGAAAGTAAAAGTTATCATGGTTACACTATTGCTCTTAGAGATTTGGGTGTTCACTCTCCTAATCTTTAGACCTATGGGCAAAAATGTGTAGGTTTGGTTATGGGATCTGATAGTTTATGCGAGAACTTTTGCTGTTTGTTTCTTTCATTTCTTATCACCACAAACTACAAACTTGTATGCCCAGTTATGTGTTACTTTTACAAGAAAGAGTGTTATCTTTCTCTATATTGCAGCCTAGATGTGTTATCTTTCTCTATATTGCCTCCTAGATATTAAGTGACACAATGAAGGTATTGAGACTTGGTGGAAAATGATGTCATCCTGGTCACTGATTCCACAAGTTTCTATCATAAATTTTTTTTTGGCCCTTCTACATCTTATATTAAATGATATGGGTACGTAAAAATGTCATGATCTTTTAAGTTTTGAAAGAAAAGTACCTTTTGCCTCTTAGGCCCAAAATATGTGCAGCTTATGTTTATGTCTCTACTTAGGTATACCATTATCTTTTTTCTTGGTTCACTGGTAGGTTATACCAAAAATTCTAATTATTGAAATTGGTTGAGCTACCATAATTACAGTAGGTGTTCCATATGAAATGTGTACCAGTTGGAACACTAAGAGAGGGTCAAGTAATTGTTTAAAAGCTGAAACAATGTGTTGTATCTATTTTTAAAGAAAGAAAATGTGCCTTGGTGCATGAAAATGTGATTCTTGATTGTTTGTGGCAAAATAAAACTGCTTTGATTCCACAAGTTCTACCAATTCAAAAAGATGTGGCTTGAAATTTTGACCAAAAGTAAATATGTTGTGGTGTATCGGTTTGAAAATAAAAGTTTCTTCGATGATACTTTCTTTTGGAGAGTTAGGCAACCTTTCATTTAGTGGTGGCAATATGCTTTCTCAATCAATTTTTAGCATGGACGGAAAAGTTTGATGCTCAGTTCTGGGAATTGTCATTTTGTTTGGGGAAGGTTGCCGCTCTTCATTTTGAAGCCACATTGATAATCTAGATGCATTTTTGTTCCTCGGTAAAAGTTTCTCAATTCGATATTTTGAAACTAACACTGTATTAACTAATTTTTTAAAAATAAATGTGCCTTGGTGTCTAAGCAAAAGTTTCTTTGTTTTTTGGGAAAAAGTTAAATTTCTTCGATCTCTCGGTTGGTTGGAACATAAAAAGAAATATGTTTTGATGTTTTGCTTGCAAGTAGATATTTTTTATTGAAATATAAAAAAACAGTTTTCTTATGGTCTCCTACATTGAAAGTGTTTTGGTTCGGGAAGTAAAGGAGGCTCAATTTATAATTTCGAACCTGAAAACAATTTTTTTTGTATTATTTAAAGATAAATGTGACTTGATGCACGAGAAAATGGATTTCGATTTTTTGGAGCAATGTAAATTTGCTCCAACTCCTCTTGTAGTTCCAATTTTTGAAAAAACATGCGTTGAACTTTTGATCCGAGAGAAATATGTTTTTGTTTGTGGCCGTAAAAGTAAAGGATACTGGGATGACATCTCTTATGATATTGTAATATGCTTTCCTAATATATGATAACTATGGATAGAAAATTTGTATGCTGGATTGCGAAAACTATTATATTCAGTTTATGTAAGATATATGAGATGTGTTTTGAAAGTTTGAATTTCATGATCTTTTGGCACAAACATATATCATTCAATGTCCCATATTCAGAAAGTAAATGGCCTCGATTAATTTTTTTGAGAGCGAGTGTGTCAATTTATTTTTTAAATAAATTTGTTTGTTGGTGCTTGAACAAATGTTCCTTAATTTTTTGGGGCAGTGTAAGATTTTGCCAGTCTCTTGGATGATTCTATCTCTAAAAAATTGTCCCTTGATCTTTTAACTGAAGTTAATTAATCTTTGGTATATAATTTTCTTGATCTTTTGCTTTAAAAATAAATCTACAAGATGTCCCACATGAAAAGTATACAAGTTGGAAAAGTAAGTGGATGTCAAATAATTTTTTTAAAATTGAAAGGCATGTTGTATCTATTATTTGAAAGATAAATGTGCTTTGGTGCAAAAGAAAATGATTTTGAATTTCCTGCAGCAAAGTAAAACTTTTGTGATGCTTCGGGTTGTCTAAACTCTAAAAGTTGTGGTTTGCACTTCTGGTTCAAAGTAAATATTTTTCAGAATATGTTTGTTGAAAGTAAAAGATACTTTGATGACACCTTTTCTCTTGAAGGGTTGGCAACCTTTCTCCTATAATTGTGGAATCTCATTAGAGATTAGATATGGTAGAAAAACTTGTTGAACCTTCGAAGCAAGTAGGGATGGCTCTTGAAATACATGTTCTGCAGTTATCATTAGAGAATGTTTCAGAAGAACCTTTCCAATAGTTTTCAGATGAAGAAGTAGATTATGGTTCAAAATCATTTATTTAGGAGTTAAAAATCAATAGAGCAAATAGAGCTTGTCCCAGAAACACCAAGATCACTGAGGGCACTGAAAGCTCCAGTTATGATATTATGGATACAGTAAGAAGTAAAAATAGATTTGAAATTACCGAGAAAGGGGTATCTCTTAGCAAGGATGAAGAATTTGATCTCAATTTAATGAGTGAGGTAAAGTAACTTGTTTGAATGCCCTTTTTTGCACATTATCTTGTTTCCTCGATAACCTTTCATATTCTGAAACTGTGTTAGATGAGGCGTAGTATGTTTTCTATATGATTGTTTCCATTTTCTCTCTTGTACATCCTATATTGTGCTGTTAAAGATTCATTTTTGGTTGGTCAGGAAATGAGTCTAGTTGAAAGAGATGAGAACCAATTAGGTAAGAACTACTTCAGATTGATTTAATAGTCGTAATGTGTTCTAGTCATGGGCTTGTCTAATTTCCTTCATATAGCATTCTGATCTAATCTTACCTTCACTGCAAATGGATGGTCAGAGAAAACAACGTGAAGCCAACAGGCATTTGGATCTCTTGATTAACATACATATATATATATGTATGTATCTTAGACATTTATGTTATGAGGACCCCTTCAATTTCTTGAGATTTGTGTTTACAGAGGGTGGCAACCTATTTGGGGAAAACTTTTACAGATCAAAGGGAAAAGCAAGAGGATGAAGTGGGAGCCTGTCGCAAGTTTCAGAAAGAAGAACCAGAAAAGGAAATTTAAGGTTCTTTTATGAGATACTGGTAAGTTTCATATGTTTTTCTATGCAGACCAAAATATGGTTTCACCCCTTATTGCTTGCTCTTATTTCGATTTTGCAGCTTTTTTGTGGCTCGGTTTCTTAACGTATATTTGAGTGTGTTCGAGCTTTTGAACATGAACCCATTGTTTATATTTAAATGTAAACTCTAATAAATGTTCGGCTGGATGGTTATTATGTATCTCTCTCTATAAGAGATTGTAGATTCTAATTAAACCATGTATTCTCATGTGTTCTCGTTAGAAAATTGCAACTTTTATGCTTGTTTGAGTTTTTGAACATGAACTTGTATTTTATATTTCAATATAAACTCTAATAAATTTTCGAATGGATGGTTGGTATAATATCTTTCTCTATAAGAAGTTGTGGATTTAAATCAAACTTTGTGTTCTCGTCAAAAGATTGTATTATAATAGATGATAAAATTAGAGAGCACAAAAACCCACCACAAAGTCATTAACCTGTATAAACAAACATGTTTCTTTTTAATTTTCTTTTTCAGCCCAATCTGTGGTTTTCCTTTTTTACCCCTCATATTTCTCATATTTATCATGCGGAGGTGGCTTCACAAAGACGCACTGCAGCCCATCTATAAAAACACCAGACTTTTAGAGACTTCTACTTCACTGATACTACTCTCTCTGCTTTGGCTTGGTCTGGGTACACTTCTTTCTGCCTCTCATTACTTCAAACTTATTAATTTTGCTTATGTTGAATCTTATTAAATTAGGTTTTTCTTTTCTACCGGTTCTGTTATTGTATTCATCAAGCGGAGGTATTTTGGGTCTCTGGGCAGAATATTTCATGTCTTATTGGCATATTTTTGATCGATCACCAACCGGTGCATGAACGCCTCTGTCTGCAAATTTTGATTACTCATTTGTTTTGCTCCCACCCGAACATGAACTCCGATCTTCTAATCAAATTTAATTCCGAGACTAGCTAACCAAAATCCTTTAGTTTTTGTTTATGGTATTGAAAACCAGAAACCAGTGGGAGAAATATATGTACGAAAAGGCGGGCTAGGGTTTTGAAATCGTAGGAGTCTTGTAGAGAAAATGGAAAAGGGAGGTAGAGATTGGGGAAAACAGAATGGTTCACTAAAATTAGAAATAGAGGATATGCTTTTTTGATGAAAAAAAAAGAAACAGGTAATGGAGGAAGCAAATGCAGCCCGACTGGACCCTCTCTGGTGGTTCTCGGATAGCGTTTGATAGATGATCATCTATGGTATTTATATTTAAAAGCTTCCTTCCATTTTTTTTAATTTATTATTTTTTATCATTTTTTTTACAAAATAATATTTTTTTTAATTATTATTCAATCAAATTTTTTCTTTTAAACTATATTCTTGCTAAAAATATAAATATAAACATTTTTTTCATATTCATCCCATTCATATTTTATTTTAAATATCAAAATTTTAATATATATATATAGAATGTAGAGATGAAATTTGTTAAGTACATCTGATGAAATTTAGAGATGGAATTTTTTATATAAATAGAATTTTAAGAGATGGAATTATATATATAGAATTTGTTAAGCAACAAATGGAGGATGATACTGATATTAAGTAGAGATGGAGGGCAGTGAGACAGTTGGGTCATCAGTGAATGCGGGTGAGTTCAGAGTGATGATGTTCAAAAACGATCAAAAGTACAAGCAAAGAGAGTAAAAAGTTATAAAGCAGAAAGTATTGTAGCTCAGATTTTGGTTTCAACTAGTAGTCCTTGCAAGAAGCACTATGTAACGGCTCCGGAAATTTAGAATGAAATATGTGTATTAAAAATGTCAAATGCGGAAGCGTAATAAAAATTTTGATTAACATCCCTTACACAAAAAAATAAAAAACGTGCTCAAAATATAAAATAATAAACTAACTAAAAGAGATACTCGAAAATAAGAACTATAAATATAACTACAAAGTCTTTAGGCTTCCCCTTCGCCGTCTTCCTGCGGAACGGGCTCGGGAACAATGTCTTCCTGATTTGAAATGGTTAAATAAGGAATGAGATACACCAGCCCAGTAAAGACATCACACTATCTCACCGCCACGGAAGTAAAGGTGGGTAGAAAACACAAAAAAGACCAATCGAGCATAATTTATAATAAACTCGTTTATTAACATAAAAATCTTTGCTGTCCACTTATCTCGGTGAGATTCATAAAAACAACTTATGAAAATAATAACATTATCATCATCATGAAATCATATGAATTGTATAACATAATACTTACCGCACCTTTATATTTCATTTATCAAACAACACATTTTCCTCATTTACCAGCCTACTAGTATCCATGGGAATCCATAGGGGTCCCGCTACCCGTGAACCCTTAACATTTATAACCTAATTCTAGAGCCGTCCCCATACCCCGTCCAGTATGGGCGCCAAAACCATGAACCTCAATACCCCGTCCGGTATGAGGGTGAAACAGGTCGTCCCCATACCCCGTCCGGTATGAGAGACCACGTTCCCGGTAGGGTTCCCTACGGACCCGGTCCGTCCACCATCTCCCAGGATATCTAGTTAGGCTGTCCACATTATCCACTTATCAATTCACATAACCTTTTTGCCCTTTTTCTTGGTTTCAATCATCCAAACACACACAACGTGTAAACCAGTAATGGACACCAAACAAGACAACACAGTATCGGGTTAAGCATAATACCGACCATAATAAAGAAACCATGATTCATGCATACGAGACCATAATATAATTACATCAAACATCATACTGCATTTAATACAGGAAATTAAATCAAACAATAACAGACCAACCCAGTATCAGACTCGAGCTCCATTGGCAACCTTAATCAATTATACATCTATAGAGTCACACAGTACAGTTTAATTATTTATTTAGCTTTAATACCGTGATAGGAAATAGGGTGAGGGGTCTTTACTTATTTCGGGGTCTGAATACGGCTCTACAGTGCGCCTACAGGCTGTCCTTAATTTTCCCTGAATTTTTTTCGGGAAACTGAAACGCACTACTGGTACCTGCATATGTCCCAAAAAATCCCAAATTAGATCTAGGGCCCCTTTCGGCTAATATCGCGAATCCGGCACGGCGGCTTCGGCGACGGCGCTGCCCCTTGCGGCGGCGATTCGCTTCGGGTTGGCCGTTTTCGGCCGAATTCGGCCACGCTTGCATCGGTCCCTGCGATAGAACAACCCTAGGGCCCTCGGTGGGCCGAAAAATCACGAAAAACCGAAATTTACCGGTGGCGGTGCTCTCGGGTGCGGCGGTTCCTCCGGCGTGAGTCGCGTTTTGATGTTTGGCTCCGATCAACCTGTAGAGAAAAGAACGGTGATCACAGTGGTATAAAATTTGCATCAAACGGAGGCCGGGGACGACGGCGCCGCTGGGTTTCGGCTCGGTTTTCCGGCTGTTTGACCGGTGGTTTGGCTCCAGTTTGGCCATAGGCGGACTCAGCGTTGAAAAACGAACAAGGAGGAGAAAAATTACCTCGATCGGCGGTCGGAAACTTTTTCGGTGTGGCGGCGGGTGGCGGCGGTCAGCTCCTCCAGCGTTTGGTTCTTCTTCTCCGGCGAGCACTGGCGGCTAGGGTTTCTTTGGTCAGGTGTGGGTGGGGGTATTTATACCCTTTGCCTTTTAATCTCGACCGTCCATCAAGCTTGAATCTGGGCCGTTCGATCGCAATTTAATTGGGATTAAATCTGGGCCGTTCATCGCGATGCAATCTAGGCCGTCCGTGTGCGCGGGAACGGATCTGGGCCGTCCGATCGCGCGCACGCGGATCGCCCATGTGGCCCGTTCCCTGGTCAGCGTTGTCTTGCCACGCGGCGCGTTCTGGTTGGCCAGGGCTGCTGACCGGGCCACTGACGTGGCTGCTGACGTGGTGCTGACGTGGCACAATTTTTCTAAATTGCGTTTTGACTCCCGGTTTCCGATTTTCTTTTCAAAAACACTCCCAGAATCTAAATTTTCACCCCTTTTTCCTAAAATCAATTTCAATTAAATCCAAATAATATTTTTACCCAATTTTATCATTATTATTATTTTTATTTTCATTGAATTAAATTAAATTAAATTAAATAAAAAATTCAAATAAATAAATAAGAATAAAAATAAATAAATAAAATTTTTTATTTTTATTCGGGTGTTACACACCACTTCGAATTTTAAGTCTTATTGTTTATGTATGTACATATACCTTTGTGCTTCTTTATGAGGTAATATCTTATGGAATTTATGGTTTGTGAACTTAGTAACAAGAAAGAATTTGAATAATATAATCTTTTGTCCTTTAATTTTTGACTTTAAATAAACCTATATTGATACCACAAAAAATAGATATTATATTCACACTTTGCTGGGTAGTCTCCTAGTTAATGTATACAGTGGGAACAAATTTATTTCTGCCTTATATGTTATACCTTGCCATGGTACTATTTATAGTTTTTGTTTTCTACCCCTTCTGTTGTCGTATTATCAAGCAGAGGTGGCTCACATAGACACATCTCAGTTAACCTATGAAAAGGTGAAACTTTTTAGAAACTTCTACAGCTAAACCCGCACTTCTATCTTACTCTCTGCTTCTCAATGTTCTGTGTACTCTTCTTCCATTAATTCCTTGAATCTCAAAGTTAATTTCATTTTCCATATCCTAAT